ACTCTTAAGTGAAATAAATAGGACACACATGTGTAAATACCAAATAGTTTCTCTAGTGTGAGAAACTGAAAGTGTAAATAAGGAGTAAAAGGTATAAAAAGATAATGTGAAATAGGAAGCAAAGGGCAAAGGGGAAGAAGTGGGAGGAGTAGGGGAAAGGAAAGAAGGGAATGGAATTAATATAGAAAATGGAAAAATGGAAACAAAGTCTTTGTAAATAGGGAGGGATGGAGAGGTTGAAGGGAGGGGAGGGGAAGGGGGAAAAAATAACCAATAGAGATTATGTAAAGGTGCAAATTTCCAATGATGAATGTCATTATATTGTATACCTAAAATGTACCAATAAAATAAAAATAAAGTCTATTAAAATTTGAAAACCTACCTCTCCCTTGGACTAAAATAAAGAACAGGGCTAGGGATTTAGCTCAGTGGTTCCAGCTCCTGCCGCACAAGTGCAAGGCCCCAAGTTCAATCCCCCCGGTACCAAAAAAAAATAAATCTCCTTAAAGTAAAGAATAAAACTCATTATAGATATCAAAAGCTTTTATTAAATATCTGTAGGGATTCAATATGTTTACATTAATGAAAAAATGATTCATCCATTTTTATGAAATGTTTCTCAATTTTCAAAGAATGGCTGCACAACTTAAATACCTAGAGTACAAATGAAAACAGAAGTAAAAACTTTGGTGGCACTGACTCAGAAATATGATATCAATTCCAACTAATACCATGAAAATTGAGGCAGATTTTCATAAATTCATACGATTTTATAAATTCAGGCAAAATAAAAATGAAGCATCTGAGAAATTCGTAACAATAAAACAAAAATTATAAACACACCAGACAGATTCATGCCATAAGTAACAACCTGCTAAGATATAAAACTAGCCAAAATTGGAAATTCATTTCTCAAATAAAAGCGTTAGGTTTTTTTATATAATAGCACATCAAATTTATGAAGGTATTAATTTAAAAATGTGTAAAATACTTTATTATTATTCAACATAATGTAATACTTCCTCTTATAGAAGTGAAATAAAAAGTAAACTGGTTCTAACATTCCCTTTCATTTTACTTACCAATAACTGTTTTTGGTCTTTCTTGGCATCCTTGTAAGAGGAGGATCCAGACATCCAAGATGGTAATGGAGTTTACAGGTATCACACAGTAAAAGAAGGTGTTGATCATGGTTCTTCTTACAAATCCCACAACTTTGAACAAAGGCAGCAAATAAGGTTAGACAAATTGTATAATAGTGACACACAATTTGTATTCAACATTTTAAATTTTAAAATTTTAATCTCAGTTAACATTTCTTTTATTATAATGAACTTTGCTTATAAAACAGATCTTTTTAGAATATAGGTAACTATTAGTTATATAGTATTGTTCCTTTGAAAGTGTTAAAAGATGGTCTGGATTCAGTACAAATAAATAATAGAGTCAAACCTTTCAAAGAAGGGCATATGTAAGCTATCTCAATATCATCTTAATTTTAATTATTAGTTAAACACTATTTAAAGTTAGTTAAATTTTTCTCTAGAAACATAATTTATCTGAACCAGAAGTTTTCACTTTTCTAAAACTTCTCTAAAAATCACAAAAGAAATTACTTCATAAATGAAATTGTTTATTTTCTGCTGTTAATTATAAACCTTTCAAAGAATCTTCAACACAAAAATAAGCTAGATATATAAATAAGTCTCTTCGCAAAATCAGATTTTAAGCCTTTAAAATATGTTAACTAATATTTTAAAATACTGGGGAGTTTCACAATTGTTGCTATTGTTAAATTCCTTTGATTTGTTTTTTAAAAAAATCTTTTTTGTCAAAAAGACAATTTAGTTATTGAGAACATGAACAGTATGACCTTAATACTTAATGTATATCTATATAAGTATATTGGCAATGTGTAGAATGAGGGAAAATGTTGTTGGGAACCTGGAAAAACCATTCATATACAGGAAGGGCAAAACAACAATGATGTTTGGATTTATTTTTAATATCCTAGAAAAACAACTAGTATCTGATCTCAGAGTAAAACAGAAAAATCACTTAGAATATACTCTGAAACAAAACTGAACTGCAGTCATAAAAGTCAGAAGTACAGTGGAATGCCTGATAATTTAAAATAAACCAATTGTGTTTAGGAAAGCAGCACCGATTACATACTAATGTTAGCATCATACATTAAGACAACAGTGTGTTTTTCCTATAGTTCATGTAACTTATTTGCTATTACCTATGGAAAGATTCTCCAATAAAGAATGGAAAGTAGTTAAAGGAGACTGATACCATCATAATTGCTATTATTTCTAAGAAAGAAATTAGTTCTGGGAAGAATCTATGTGTACATGTGTAGGTGTGTTTGTTTACACATGCATGGATACACACAACTGCATTTTCTAAACTCAATATAATCAATATAATTACATTAAAAATGATAGTGACTTTAAATTTAGATAAGTTTTGACAGTGAAAAATTACAGTAATAGTGAACATTACAAAAATATTGAGGACAGAAACCAAACAACAAAAATATTTCCGGACTGAGTAACTGCAAAATTATTGCAGCTAAGCAAAGAAAAAAAATATCCACAGACTCCAATATAAAATCTGTCTTCATGACATACTACCTACAAAGGCAAAAGATTCAGGCTCTCTATATAATATCCATCACTACCTAAAAACATGAACAAAATTTTGTAATTCAAGTAAAATAAAAATATAAATGTATTTCTATTATGTTGCTTTAATTATTTAAGACAATAAGCATATTTTTTTAAGGTAACATTCTAATTCCCCAAGTAGAATTCTTTTTCCCATGGGACTTACACAAATACATGCCCAGTTATTAAGAGACACAAAAAGTCATTTCTCTGATCAAAGAAACAATAAAAATCTATCATTTAACCTAGGAAGTATCTTTGATATAATGAACATTAAATCCACTTAAATTCTGGTAAGGACATAATTCACTCTCAAATATGCTAAGTACCTTTTTCCTAGTAAGTATTAGCTAAAAATAAATACATTACTTGCCTATAAAGTACTGTAGGGAGCGTAGATGTCTTTTGTGTGCCTCCTTCTTTTTTACTTGGTTTTCTCTCCTTAGGTGCTCGCAAAATTGCTGGTATGTTCAACTTCTATTAATTTGAACAAATGCAGTATGTATTGTTTTAAGGATGAAATATAAAGCAACATTTTTCTCTACTTCCCACTTGAACGAGCTAAATATGCTAGGATTATGAAGGAGAAATCTGCTTTACTAGCTATAACACTGGCAAAAGGAAATAAAAGAGGAGTTTTTGTCCAACAGTTTCTTCCATTAGAAACTTATAATTACATACTTTTATCAATTTTCAGTGCTATACTAAAACATTATTAAAATCAAAATGTTTTAGTTTGAAAAGTGAAAGACAAGGACAGGCATAAAGAGGTTTAAAAAAAAAACATACTACATTTGACAAAAAGAATATTGAGGTCGTTTATTTTCCTCAACCTCCCAGGTATACTGCTGCTCCATAGGTTAATTAAAAAAATTATCTTATTGGACCAAACTCTCCAACAAAGCAGATGAGACTCTCTTTGGGTTTCTACTAATCTGTAGTATGCTGGCTTCTCAGACAGCAACCATCTATCAAAGTCATTTCTTAGTAGCCCATTGGGCCCACATCTGTTCACCCAGCTGGAAAAAAGTATCATGCAAACAGTATGAGTGAATTCTACTTCTGTTGTGCACTTTACATTTGCACAAGGAAATTTGCAAAGCTCTGTAAAATAAATAAAAATGTCTTGTATAGTAGATAATATTTTACACTGAATAGGAAGTTCCTATGAGACAGACTTGCAAATCAAGCAAATAAACTAAGGCTTTGTACTCTACATTTTCTAAATACCAAATAATAAATAATATAATCTTCCAAACATTCATCAACATGGGCCAGGGATTTAGCTCAGTGGTGCCGTCACCTGCCTCACAAGCGCAAGGTCCTGAGTTCGATCCCTGGTACCAAAACAAAAAACAAAAAACAAAAACAAAAACATTCATCAACAAACTGTCAATAGAAACAAAAGTTAATTCTTCCAAAGGCAACTACTCCTCATTCTCACCTTTCAAAAATAAATTACTACAAGTCACCTACATTACACAGTTCACACAATAAAAAAAGTCTTTAAAGCTAGCATGGTACAGTACAAATCAGTATGTATTACTTCATAAAATAACATATTTACACAAATTGTCATGAATTTACTTCTAGAAACATCAGAAACAAGTACAATGAAAATATCTGTTCTTTGAAAAGTTTCCTTTGCAAATAAAATTGCTTTTGAAGTGAAAGAACCCTAAGCAATGAGTATACATCATGCCTAAAAAAAAAGAAATTATTTGAAAAAAAACTGTAATACATCAATACCTAAAAAAAGCATTCAAAAAATTCCATTTAGCAATATTCTTTTCAACACTAAGAACTTTAACAGGCTAAAAATGTTCAAAGATAAAAGACTAAAACTATCACATTTAAATTTCAAAACCTATCTTTTAACAGCTAAAAGGCAAACTGACATGAAAATTAATCACTCTAGTTTACATTTTTCAATTTTAAGTTTTACATCCAAATAAAATAAACACCTGGAACACAGCACAGTAACAAGAAAAAAAAATATGGCAAAGAATCAAGCTAAATTAAAAAAAAGAAGAATGTAATAGGAGAAACTTATGTTTCAAATCTTAGCTCATCACAAATGACAGACAGGTCAATCAGGTGCAGCAAACGAAAAAAGTCTGCAAACAAGACAATTGTTGAAACAACCAAATTAAATTATAGTTCTCAGTAGGTGTTTCCAATGTTCTAGATGCACTTCAGGCAGAAATCAGTATCCAACCTAGAGGATTAAGCTTTGATAAAACAAAATCCTTCAGCTGTGTCAGAAATCTTGTCTTTGAAAGTTAGATAGTAAGCAAGAATTAAAGAGACCAATTGGAAAAACACTAACCTGTCCTGTAATTCTGCCTAGTAAGGCCCATATTCCTTGCCCTTCACTTCGAAGTTTTCCATTCAAGTTTTGCAATTCTTCCAAAGATTCACACAGCTACAAAGTGAGTAAGTCAAATTATCAATAAATGGCCAAAGGTATCTACAACTACATTCCATACATTTGTAAGGTATTCAAGTCACAACATGGTACTACTAAGACAATGATATCCAAATATTTAGCAGCATAACAGAATGCAAGCATTTTATTTTGTGCTAGTTTTACTGATGATGCTTACATTTATACCGATCATTACACTTGCTATATACTTTCACACATACTCTGCTAATTAACCACTGTCTCTATCAAGATGTATTTCCATCATCTACTCCATGAAAAAACTAGGAATCATGAGGTTTGTGAGTTGGCCAACAACACAGAACTACATGAATCCTTAGGTCTTCTGAATCTAATTCCACTTTGCACTACAATGTAGCTGATTACTAAAACTTTCTACTAATTTTTTTTATCACTTACAATGTTTTTCTTTTTTTATTAATCTTTTCAACAATAGTTTTTTAATGTATATGTTACTTAGTACCTGGTATTTTAGTCATATTTTGCTTTTATGTGATTTTTTTAACCTCTCATTAGAATTAAGAGGTAACTATAAAAATATAAATTGGGAAGTATATATTTTTACCAAGGGTAACATCATAATTTGGGGTAAAAACAGTAATTGAAAAATAAGTTTTTAAAATGTCTATGAGATTAGAAAGACAAGCTCTATAATACTGTGTATAAATTAGAATAAAAACCTGAGTCAGATGTCTTAGCCTCAAACTCCAGTTCTGGGACTTAACTACATGTAAGCCTGGGCAAACGATATAGTCTTCAGGACTCATTTTCTTCCCTTGAAAATGGGAGCAATAATCACAAGCTACACAAGACAATTAAGATGAAGATTAAATAAGTTACTAGATGTGAAGGCATCAGAAGTACATCTGACACATACAAAATGTTCAGTAAGAGACAGCGATGATAAAGAGCAGGAGAAAAGACTAAAACCTCTGGAATCTCAAAAAACAGAAATGCTATAAAATCACAGAAGAAATCATCAAGTCCTATTATGCTCTCTACTTTGTAGTCAACTTACCTTATTATATTCCACATGAAGCTTTTCTTGTTCGTTCTCTAATTTATCCTTTATATTCTTTTGTTCAGCCATGTTTTCCTGAATTTGAATCATGCGCATATTTCTCTCTATTTAAATTAAATTTTACTTTAGTACCAAGTAAAAGCTGATATAAGAAATATATAAAGAAACTATCCATAAAGATGATCATATGGATAAATCTATATTGTTGAAACACTTTTAAGTATGCAGAAAAAAACATGAACCTAGAATTTTACAAAAACCTACAACTTAGGAAAATAACATGCTTTGATATTTCTAACATGGCTAATGAATTTCTAAAAATTAATGGTAGATTAAAAATTCATTAGCAAATTGTTCTCATTGAAAATGTGCATGTATCTATACTGACCAAAATAATAATTCACAAAATCAGCAGTGAGAGCTGGTTGCTTATGTTTTCTCCTTCCATCCACACTAGAGCTAGTATCTGAATTGTCCACTGGAAAGATATCTGTACTGATCCCCATTAGCTCTGCTTTCCGCATCAGTTTACGAATAGCTGAAGCACTACTAGTGAGTGGTCTGGGCAATTTTTCCCTTGGAACCCAGGCCTGGGGTCTGGTGGATCGAGCTAGTTCTGCTTTGGCACGATACTGCTGCAGCCGGGCATTGATCCTTGCCTATAAAAGAAATGCACACAAATTTTAATATAATAAAATGGAGCACAGACCTGACGATTTTTACTTCTGTGCTCCAAAAAGGTAAATATAACTAGAATCTCCTATTCAAGGCAAATTATATTAATAATATAAAGGTATTCTGCATAATTCTTGAGTTTCAATAAACTAGAACTACACCTAGTAACAACTGTCCCAGTTTATTATCAGCATTATGAGAAACTAATTTGACTAAATTAAACTTTTCTTTTCCCAATAACTACAATAGTCTCCACAGATTTACTTAATGTACATAGAAAACCATTTTAAAGGAAAAACTTACCAAATTCTCTACATAAATGAACATTTGACTGAGAACATCTAGTCAACATATTGTATTAATACAACTGTTTCCTCTAAGCTGTATTTTTCAATGTGAAAATATACTTTATAAATAGATGCTCTATTGACTACCTGAGGAGGAACATTCAACCACATACTCTGTTCAACATTTACCTCAAGCATAAACCACTTCTTAGATAACTAAGTTAATTTCATAATTATATTTCAAATGTTATTGGGAAACACATAAGATTGATTATCTATAATTTTTATAGGAAAAAAGTTTTGGCATGATTCCCATACCTGTGCTTCTGGTGATAGCTGCTTCTCTCTCTCTTGCAAAGACATCTTACAATAGGACTGCAGAGCCAAGTAGTTTTTTCTCTTCCACTTTCTGTCCAAACGATCTGCATGTTGCTTACAATAAGCAAAAAATGGATCTGCTATATCCTATACAAAAATAAAAAAGGAGAGAGGGTGAGCATTTTAACTCCAATATGTCATAAAAAACCCCAACACCAAAGAAATTCGTTTTTGAAAACATCTCCTAGTTCTAGTTAATTTCATAATAAATTGTGTAAGTACTTTTTGTACATTAGGATAAAGATTTCTGCTTTAGAAACAATCCAATATATCAAATTTAAACTTCACATTAGAATTTTTTTTTTCCTTAAAGGAGCAGAGGATATAGCTTAGTAGCAGAAAAACTGCTTACTTAGCATGCCTAAAACCCTAGGTCAATCCCCAGGACTGCAAAAAGATAAAACAAAATAAAGAATCTCCTATATTTAAAAATAATAAAAGCAAATCTTATGTATTACTTGGATGTATCTGCATACTGTTGTAAAACACTCAGTTTAAAACAAGATTTAATAACAGAAATAATAAATATTAAAGTTGAACACATATCAATTAATAACGCAAAGCAACAATACTATATATTTGAAAATATAGGACTACCAAAGATAGACAATTCTAAGTAGTTAGCAATGCATGAACAAATTCTACTCAGGGGAAAAAAGATTAAGAAGGTCAGACCCTGACACTAGAACAATTCAGTTATTTCCCTTATCTCCTTACATAACCTCAAATAAGCATACAGTTCTCTCTCATGTACTAGCCTTAATGTAGACTCAGAGTAAAAACCCAAAGTCCTTTCCACGTACTTCTAGGTGGTACATGTGTCCTCCTGTTTCCTCTATGGTCTCCTTCCTTCCCTGCCACCAATCTAAGCTCCTAACTCTGTTACCGTAGCCACACCATCTCCTTGTTCCTACCTCAGGGCCTTTGTATATACTATTCCTTCTGTGTCTAAAGCTCTCCCTTCAAATCAACACATCACTTATCACTTATTTTCATAAATGTTACCTTACTAGAGAGCCCTTTCCTTATTTTCTTAAATAAAACAGCATTAGCCTTCTTTTATTACTGTCTACTTTTTCCAACTCTAAAACAGCTAAAGGTAGCTGAGCACAGTCGTGTGCACCACTAATACCCGCAATGGGGAGGCTGAGGCAGGAGGTTCATTGTAAGTTTGAGGCCAGCTTGGGCTACATAGTGAGTTCGAGGCCAGTCTGAACTACATAGTGAGATCATGTCTCAAAAAAACAAACAAACAAATAAATATAAAATAGCTAAAGGTCCAGATAAAGCTTCTCATTGTTCCAGGGAAACATTTTATTTCCATTTCTTCCTGTCCATACTCAGCACTTGTGACATCTTTTTTGGTTCTGTTTACTATTTCCTCACTTAGGCAGACACTGATACTTAAAGCAAAATATAGGTATCCTGACAGATACCTCTATCCCAACACCAGCTTAATCCTCTGCACATATACACAGGTCTTCAATCATAATGAATGACTGATTTCACTGAGTACTGTAAGCCTACCTTTAAGTATAGATGCACAGTCTACCAAACAACGTTTGTCACTCCATTATACAACTTAACTGATGCTATCATTGGAAACTCCCTCAAAGGTCTATGTGTTAAAGCCTTGGTCCCCACCGTGGTGCTGCTCAAAGTGGCAAAATCTTTGAGAGATGGGACTTTCTAGATCATCAAGGTAACGGGGCTATGTTCCACGTGGGAGTGCAGGACCCTCATCTCCTCCCTTCTGCTCCTTGCCATAATGCAAGCAGCTGTGCTCTATCACGTGCTCCTATCATGACATGCCATCAGAGGCTGAAGAAGCAGGGCCAAATGACCAGTCATGGACTGTAAACTCCAATACTATGAGGCAAAATAAACTTTTTCTCCTTGTAAGTTGATTTTCTCAGGAATTTGTTACAGTATGGAAGCTAACACAAATGGATTTTAGAACATGAATTCAATAATGACTAATGCAGAGCTGGTCTGCAACTTACAATAACTAGACTTAGAATTTTTCTATTTTGTGATGGTACAAAAGCCATTCACATTCAGTAGAAACCATACTTTGAATCTTGAGTCTTTCCTGGGCTAGAAAGATGTGATATAATAGTCTCAAGATGTGAGACACAGTGGCAGAGCCACAGCTCCCAGCCAGCCACAGGATCAGGTAAGTAGTGTGTTGTTAAGCTGTGGTGTTTAACAGGTTATGTTTATTAAACACATAGTAAATTTACAATTACCTCCAGCTTATGATTGGCTTAATAGGAGGTAACCTCATAAGATGAAGAGCATCTGTATTCATGTTCCACAAATGCTTGCTGAATTGTTGTAGGCTAAGACACAATATGGTGAATAAATATGTTAAACAAGCAACATTAAAATGTGTTAATTTGAAAACTTTAATAGCTAAAGATGAGTAACAACTGCAGAATCATAGAGATACTTTATAATTTAGTTTATCCTACAGTTAGTTTATTTCTTAAGACGTCTTGCACTTAAGTCTGAAATCAAGATAACGAACAAAAAAAAAATATTTTTGAACAAGTATTGTTAATTTCCTAATGCTACTACTTGAAAATTTTAGGAGCTTTTACATATAAAAAACTTTAAATGTAAATACAATGTCCAGATGCCTGGTGCCCAAAAATCAAAAGAGAAAAATCAATGTGACAATGTATATATTTTGTCCTTTACAGTCATGTATCATATACAAAACCAAGCCAGAAGCGATTTAGTATTTTTTCCTACATAAACTCTACCAATTCAAATTCTTTACCCACAGTATATGAGACTTGTAATTTTAATTGTGCCACACCCCCAGCAATGCTTGTTACTTTTTTTTCCTTAAATTCTTTTATTGGTACATTTTAGGTATACAATACATTTACATTCATCATTGGGAACTTTTACCTGTACATAATGTATCTTGGTTCTTACTCTTTTCCCAATCCCTGTCCTCCCTTCAACCCATTCAACCTTCCTTATTTACAAAGACTTTGTTTCCATTATTTCCTTTTCTCATAATTTTTCCTTTCCTTCTTTCCTTTCTCCTTCCCTCCCACTTCCCCTACCCCTTTGGACCTTTTCTTCCTATTTCAAATTATCAATTATTCATTTTAATCCTTATTTACACTTTCAGTTTCTCACACTAGAGAAACTATTTGGTATTTACACGTGTCCTATTTATTTCACTTAAGAGTATGGCTTCAATATGGATACACTCAGCTACAAATATCTCTAGTTTGTCATTCTTTATGGCTGAGTAGTACTCAATTTTATTAAAAAAAACACATCTTCTTTATCCAGTTTCCAGTTGATGGGCACGCGGGCTGCTTCCAAGCTTTAGCTATTACAAACTGTGCCGCTATAAACATGGGTGCACATATATCACTGTGGTATGATTCTTTTCATTCTTTGGGGAAGATCCCCAGCAGGGGAATAGCTGGGTCAAATGGGACCTCTAGTCCTAGTTCTTTCAGGTATCTCCATACTGACTTCCACAGTGGCTGCACCAGTCTGCACTCCCAGCAACAATGGAGAATGGTTCCTTTCCCTCCACACCCCCGCCAGCATTTGGTTGATTTCCTGATAGCAGCCATTCTTTCTGGGGTGAGGTGGAATCTAAGTGTTGTTTCCATCTGCATCTCTAGAATGACCAGTGATGTTGAACATTTTTTTACATATTTATTTGCTGCAATTACTTCTTTGAGAAATGTCTGTTCATTTCAGATGCCCATTTCTGAACTGGGTCTTTAAATTTGGGGGGGTCTGATTTTTTAAGTTCTTTATATATTCTAGATAGTAGACCTTTGTCTAAGGTACAGCTGCTAAAAATTTTTTCCCACATTGTAGGTTGTCTCTTAGCTCTGTTGGTGTTTTCTCTTGCAGTGCAGAAGCTTTTTAATAAGATGAGATCACAGTTGTCAATTCTTTGTGCTACTCCCCGTGCTATTTAGGTTTTGATCATAAAGTCTTTTCCTGTGCCAATGTCTTCAAGAGTTCTGCCTAACCTCTGTTCCAGCAAGTTTAATGTTTCTATTTTTATATTTGGATCTTTAATCCACTTTGATCTTAGTTTAGTCCATGGTGATAGACATGGGTCTAGTTTTAAGCATTGACAGGTTGAAATCCAGTTTTTCCAACACCATTCATTAAATAGGCTTTCTTCCAGTGAGGGTGGTTGGCTCTTTTATCAAAGATGAGGTGGGGCTGCGAGTCGCACGGAACATGCCAGGTCAGCCCACTGCAGACAGGCAGGTCTGCAGACACCCTACAGAGGTCACAAGTCACGTGGAACTTGTTACTGCAGAAATCCACTGGGCATCCCCTCCCCCGCCCCCTCTCCTCTGTACAGCCACCTGGTTCCACACTACAAAGACACAGAGGACATCAGACCACCAGACCACAGTACTGGGTCCCACCGCTCCTGGTCCAGAGGAAGGGGCTTCCTGGCCACCATCCCTCCCGCTGCTCCCAGCCCAGAGGAAACGGTTTTTGGCCTGCCTTCTGTTCTGCCACTCCCAGCCCAGAAGAAGGAGCTTCCGGGCCACCATCCCTCCCGCAACTCTCAGCCCAGAGATAGGGGCTTCTGAGCTGATGTCCTACTGCCCCTGGTCCAGAGTAAAGGGTTTCCCAGCCACTATCCCTCCCACTGCTCCCAGCCCAGAGGAAGGGGCTTCTGGGCCAATATCCCTACTGCCACTCCGGGGCACTGTGCCACCTCTCCCAGCTCAGAGGAGGTGATCCTCAGGGGCACCAACAGCAACCCCCAACCCCAATCGAAATGAGAAAACACATAAATAAATCTTAAAACTAGACCTCCAGATCACCTACAGCAACCCCAAAGGGAAAGGAGATGGAACACTCTGAGACTCAACCACCTAGATCCAATGAACTGGCAACAAAAGGGGATCTGAAAAAATGAAATCAGAAATAATTTCTCACATAACAGGAGAGATTGTGCTCCTAGTGCAAGGCGTGATTAATAAATCTAGAGAGGAGCTGAGGAACATGATGGAATCCCAACATAGGCAACAAACAGAATCATAAAACAGATGCAAATAGATTTCCAGGAGATG